TGGCGCCATCATGACAACCTTGGCTATCGAGCAAGGATCTCGGCGCATACATGGGACCCGCCGTAACGCAAACTATGTCGCGGTAGGATGGAATCGAGGCCGGGTGGAGGTCTGCACTGCGGTAGTCACTCCTACAAACCGTGCCCCGCCGTCTAGAGCGCTCTAGAAGTTATTTGGGCATATGAGGCGCGAGAGAAGCCAACACTGCGGCTATCGATACTCGTGCGGTAGAACGTGCCGTAGGTGTCGGTGCCAGCCAGCAGGTGAGGCGAGCAGATCCAGTAGCCGACGCTGGGAAAAAGGCAATGTTATTTACACCGCACCAGGGTTTTCGATTCGGCCCTGCATGTGTTATGATGGCTGAGCGCGTTGCCGATACGGCGGCCATACGCTTGGGCCTGGAGCCCGCGAGGTTGCCGGTACTAGCACGGCCACGGCGCTGCAGCCATTCTTGCGGCAGATGCACTGACGACGTTCTCGTAGCCTCGTTTCCTTTAGTCAGCAAAGCGCAGGCTTTTGGCGTGGCGTTTCCAACTAAGTTAGTGCAAGAGAATTTGTGTGAAAGGGCAAGAAGAACAGAAATGCAAAAGTTTGAAAGGACACAACGCCATTGGGCAGAACTCGCCCGCTCGTTCCATCTTTCCGAAAGTGCAGTGTCCGACGAGAAACAAACTCGTTTTGCACACCACTGGCATGGCAGAGCCGACGCGGATACAGCTCGGTCGTCGAAGTTGCAGCGCTCGCACTCGGGAGATGGCCTTGCGCATACACTGCATGTATTAGCATATAAGTACTTATAGATATCTACACTCTTGGATCCGCGCCACACCCATGACACTGCTCGGCAGGGAGGTACCGGTAGGGCTTGCTGGCGAAGGTCGGACGATACGCTGTCGGCCGTGCCCATGGAGATGCCTGCAATTTGCCACGCTGAACCGGACGGTCCGAATCTTCACGATGTCTGCCGCAGCAAGACTCGACTGCCCGGCGATCAAGGCCACGAGCAAGAAGCAAGGCATTGCCACAGACATAGCAGGCAGCATAGCCTGGCCACCTCGAGCGGAGAACGGTGCTGGAATGTTCTTGACCAAGACACATCTGGCGACAAATGGCGCTACCCTTGTCTGTTTCCAAGGATGGCTCCTCACTTACCGTCGCGCTTTCATTTGGGAGGCAGCTACTATACTCCTCCGGACGGACTGAATGCAAGGATCGAGCTCAAATCGTCAAGTAGAACCAAGGTTTATGGCCTTGGTAGAACCAATTCATGGAACCAATTAGATGATAACGACATTTTGCCCGTGGTGCACGCAATCTCGATTCCATTTGCCCAAATGTATACGTATGTGCTTACCGAGCCATGTGTTGACATTCGACAATTTTTCTTCAAGTGAACAATCAACGCACGGGTGCGGGCGTGACATGGGTGCGATGCCACGCGGTTAAGATCGGCTTTGGCTCGTTTATGCGCCGACAAAAGCAACCCAAACGTCTCTATAGATCGAGCACCCGCCGTGTCGTATGTCGTTAGCATGTGCATCGGGTGCTCCACGACGCTTTCTACACTTGCTGCGGAATGTGTATGGTGTGGTTCGCACTTTCGTGGGCGGTCATGTAGACCGAGTAGACTGGTGTGTTCTTCCCTTCTGTACAAAATCCTACAAATGCCGTCATCGTTGCTCTGTGTATATGTGTGCGTGTAATCGCGGACTAATCTGGAGCGGCCGTGGTATGTGGCCGCCGCAACGTGCAACTCACGCAAAATCAGAAAACTGAAATGGGTCCGGGGTAGGGCTAATTTTGTACCACGCGTTTCAACTCCGGATGTTTTTCAAGGAGTATCTTTCAACCACAACGCCTTCGTGGCTTCTTCTCAATGTGAACTAGTATTTTATGGAACATCTGAACATCCAGCACGTATAGTCTTTCGAGTCGTTTCATGCCGGAACTAGGCAGGACACTTATCATATGCAAGGCGTGTCCCTGCGAAGGGCAACCGTGGTGCTGATTTTCCGACACTGATGAGCATGAACGTATCTTAAAACGACTAGAAACGCCCGACTTGTACTTTTTCTTAACCTCCTCCCCTGTCGTCCCCACGACGCAGCTGCCAACGCATCAGATCACCCTTATCTTGATCCAGGTAACGACGCGCAAAAGACACTTATGGGTAGCTTCTCAAGTACCACCGCTTCGGTACTCGATCACCGCGTTTTAACACCAAGCTCTAACCTACGGGGTCGATGCACGAGGTCAAGCAGGATGGGCAGCATCGTCATTCGCCGACAGTGTATCAAGGCGTTACAGTCTGCACTGTTTCCGTCCGCCGCGCAGTACCACGGGTTTAGGTAAACAGTGCGCAGTTGCCTCTGCTCCCGATAACAAAAACACACAGCGATCTGTCAATCACAGGTTACCAACTCGCTGTTCACGCAACGCGGCCAACCGGATGGGTAGACAGTGGAACGTCGGTAGTTTGGGCGGGTTGGCTCGCCTCATTCTTCCATTTGCAGTCTCGGACGCATTTACACTACCATCAGCATGAAGCTTTTCTCGCTCTCGACGCTTGCGCTTGCGGTTCTTGCCGTCGCGTCCGCCCAGCCCACGACGACGACCAACGTCTCGGTGCCCGAAGCCGGCGTGGCGTCCGACATCCCCGTCATCGTCCAGCTCGGCCAAGACGCCGTACTCGATATCACCAACCTCATCAACGACTTCAAGGCCATCAAGGCCAGCGGCTTCACGCCCGACCTCGTCCAGCAAGCGCTCGGCCACTTGCAGAGCGCGATTGGCCACGGTGTCCGCGACGTTGCCCAAGCCAAGACGATCCTTGAAAACATCAAGAACCTGCTCCAGAACGGCGGCACGCCGACGGACGCGGCCGAGATCTCGACCGCGCTGCAGAAGATTGTCCAGCTCTACTTCCCGACCAAGATGCCGACCAACTCGACGCTCGCCGACGACATCCAGAAGGCGTACGCCATGGGTGCCGAGCTTCGTACCGACTTTGAAGCGATCGTCAAGGACCTCCAGCGCATCGCGGCCGGCGGCTTGACGCCCGAGCTCACGCAGTCGATTCTTGGCCACCTCGAAACCGCGTGGAACCACGGCCTTAAAAACCTCAAGGACGGCAAGAAGATCGTCGACGACATCAAGGCGATTGTCCAAGGCGGTGGCATCGACATCAAGGACGGCGTCGCCATCACGAACGCGATCCAGTCGGTGCTCCAGCAGTTCCTCTTGACGCTCGACCCGAACCCGAAGGTGTGCATCCGCGACGGCGTTGGCCGTGGCTTTGGCACGCCGGTTGTCAACCAGTGCTTGGACGGCGAGGAGGCCTACGGGGCGCTCTGCTACCCCAAGTGCAAGGAAGGCTACGAGAAGGTCGGCTGCTGCATCTGCCGTAAGAAGGGCTGC